TGCAGAGCCGTCTCCCCAGCCAGCAGTAAGGAAAGGCGGCGCAGTTAGCGAAGGAGCAGAGCGCTGCACGCTTGGGCAGTGTGTTTCAGGGCAGGACATGAACCAAAGCTAGCATCACCTCCAAGCAGCACATCAGAGCCTCTGCTTCCCATCACCCTTCTGCTTGTGGGGAAACTGGGGCACAGGCAGAGGGAACAACTCAATTTGATTCGCAGACCCCAATTTAACATGCATCGCTTTTTGTTAGGGACAATGATAGCATATTTCCGTTTAGTTTACAGCTTTTTTTTTTTTTGAAAAGGGAACTGAAAAAACCTAACCCAGATTAGATGGTTAACCCAGGTTTAGCTAAACCACACGGCAGTCCTTAAACACCCACAGCAGCCACAGCGCTCCTCTTGTTCACTAGCACAGGTAATTGTGCAACAGGAGGTGCACCACCTTGTCTTCCCTGGGACCAGAATAAGTTAGTTTAACACACAACCAACCTCCCAGGGAATTAAGGAATTGAGGGCTGAACTCTTCTGCCGGGCAGCGGCATCTCATAGCATCTTCTCTGCTTCGCAGCCCTTCTCCTCCACTCCCATCCCAAACTGCAGGGTGCAAGAGCAGCTGTGTGGGGACACTTGCTCATGGGCTCAACACGCCGTCCCTGCAGCCGCAGGGCCACACTTTGGAGAAAGGCCACAAAGGCTTGTGTGCTGGGCTAGGAAAACCTCGAATGAATGCCTTGCAGGAGGTACATCAGGGTCATACCACCTCTCCCTCCCTGCACCAGCACACAGCAGATGAGCCGGCGGGGCTCCAGACCACTGGGATGCACTGGGCTACCCTTGGCCAGTTTTTACCCATGTTTGCAGACCAGTGTGGAGTTGGGCAGTGCTGTTAAGTAAGGTAAAAATAAATGAATTAAAAAAAAAATAAAAATGCAGAGTCATTTGAAAACTCCTGCTGACCAGGAGGGTACTGCACACTGCCTCTTTCAGGCTGGGCTCTTCCTGCCTGCAGTCCTGCTCCTTTAAATAAATCAGCCAGAGGACAGGTTTACACAGGCAAATTATTTCCGCATGCATTTAAATAGCTGCGCCTGTACAGCTCCTCATGTCAGTGCACGATTGCTGCTTTCCAGCAGGGAAAGGCTTCCCCCAAACCAAACCCCTTTCCTCTCGCCCGGGAAGTGCCTCACCATGTCCCAGGGCTGCCATGGGGAGCAGCCACTGTGCCAGCTCACCATGCCACAAGTCAGCTGGGGACACGAGTGGCATTTTGGGTGAAGCCGTGCCACAGGTTGCAGAGGGCAGGGGTGTGCTGGGCGATGCAGAAACGCTGCGAGGAGCCCCAACGCTCCCACCGCTGCCCTGGCCGGTGGGGCTGGAGACCACCGTCCCCCCAGACCGCCTTTGGCTCCTTGCCCGGCTGTAGGGTGTGGGAGATGAGAGTTCAGGCAGAGGGCTCTGCTCACATAAAGAAAAAAGAAAAATAAATGCACAGAGGTGCAAGCCTGGGAGTTGTGGGCTGGCCAGCCTGGGCGTGGTGACCTTCTCCAGCAGCATCGCCTTCACCTTTGCCTCCTCCACCTGGTACGGACGTTCTTGCTTCCTCAGAGGACAGACAGATGGACAATACAGCTTTCAACTCGAGATCTCCAAAAGATGGTGAGAGATGCAGCTGGTGGGGGGCAGCTCCTGGCTGGGGCCAAGTCACCATGGGCTGGGGCCACCACCAGGAACCCTCCCCACCCAGGCAGCGTCCCCAGGGCTTCGCAGCGGGAGCACAGCCCTTCTAGCTCAGCCCGTGCACCCACGTGAGTCACCGTCCTCATTCTCCACTACTCCGTGACCTTGACCACGGCCCTTGAAGCTTCAGCTTCTCTCTCCACCCTTCCTCTATGGACTATGAACACTTCCAGGCCATAGCTATCTTTAGCAAGCATCTATACAAACATTGAACCCAGTGAAATGTGGTTTTATCTGAGGTTTCTAGGCGTTACCGCAACAGGGACAACACACTCCCCCTCTCCAAGATGTGTCAGCCCTCCCCGAGCAGCCCAGGATTGCATCCAGCCCCACAGCAAGCTGCAGCTTCAACTACGCGCAGCTTTTCATGTAACAACCCCCACCCCCACCCCCCAAAAAAATCACCCAAACCAGAGCACAGAAATCCTCTGCCATCCCAGAAGGGGATCTGTGTGGATCTCCCCAGATAATCAAATTTAAAACACCACCAAAACAGACCTTTGATTAGCGGCCATGGAGTCCATTCATAGCGACAGCATGTCAGGTCAATGTTCACTCCCAAAATCAACTGTCTGCCGCGGGAAAGGCATTTTTTTTATTTTTATTTGACGGTCTGCATTTGAGGTCTAGTTAATAAACAACGTACTTGGGTGTGCCATCTGGCCAGCCATAGAGCATGCCTAGAAACAATACTAATAAATCATCATATGGTGGTGCTTTAAAAGGCAGTTTTACAAAAGCCTGGGCAAGCTGACTGAAACCTATCAGGCATGTTTTGTGTGCCCCGAGAGCTCAGCCTTCAGGCAGTCTGCCTCTCAAATCGGCCACTGTCAAAAAGGGTCAGAGTCCAAAATTATGCTGCTGTTTTTACTCAGAGACTCATTTGAACAGCGGGCGCTTTTTTCTTAAGCCAGCATGCAGGAATTAACTTGTGCAAGTTAGAGTTGGGCTGGTGCTTTACACAATAAGTAAATAAATAAAAAATACGACTTAAGAGTATTTTTAATGTCAATGAAACAGAAGCTGGTTGCTGGTGTTGGGCAATGCTTGTGTGCCTCATCCCAAGTGGGGATTGCCTGGAGGGACATGCACTACTCATCTAAGGACTCGGCGGCAGGTAGACAGCAAACACAGAGCTCCAGACCCAATGTTTTCAGCACAAGAGCCAAAAATCTCATTCCTGGATTCACACACACGTTTTTCCATACACATCGCTAGGCACAAGCCTGCCCTGTCACAGCCATACTGATGCCCCCAGCCCTATAATACAGAAAACTGACCTAATTTTCCTCTTTTTAAACAACCAGAGGTCATCTCCATCTGCAGCAAACCCCACTGAGCAGGGAAGAGAAACACAGATCGATCTCTGATAACATCAGTCCTCCTCCCCAAGTCTTCCTCCAAATTTTGCCCTACGCTGCCTCTTCTAAATGCCTGAGGATCCCACATCCCTCAAGGCTGTAATGGTGCTGAAAAGAAGCTAGGGAGGTCCTCTGCCATTTCTGGGTCCATACACATTGGGTTTGGGTGCGATGGCTCCCTGCGTGCATGAACTCTGCCTTGTTCTCCTTCACGACTCAGAGCATCTCACCTGAAGTTCCCAAGGGCGTTTCTTGGCTCGCTCCATGCAGCGAGACGTGGGGAAATGTCACCCACATCCACACTTTGCCTGCTGCCCAGTGACTCAGAGTCGGGGAGAGAATGCTCCCTCCCAGTTAAACCAGTTGCTCCAGTAGCATGTACCTCCTATCCCAACCAAAGATAAGATTTGCTCCATCTGCCTTTCTGCCCAATTTGCATTTCCAGTAGGTCTGATCAAACTCAGATTTTCTAGTCCGTGGCAAACCCTGATTCTTCAGGACGCATCTTCCCATACCTAAAAGAACCACTAAAAAAGAAAGCGAAAAACTCTACGCTTTCCACCCCCAAGAACCACCTTTTTTAGTAAGAAGGTCACTCTAGTCAACTGGAACACTGCGTTTAAGTTCTGATTTTCGGAGCTTATGCAAGCAGAAAAATGCAGCATTGAAACAAAACAGAAGGACATCAACACAGGATTTGGGTGTCTGGAAAAAAAAAAAAATGTATAAAATAATCACAAACAGCACATCCCTGCAGAACATTACGATTCTGACTCAGCCCCAGCTTTGGCAGGGAAGTGCAGGTATTCAACACACACTGAGCCTGGACCAAACCCTAAAAGACAAGGCTGATGCCGGAGCAAGGCAACCAGTGCAGAAGCCCATTGCATCGCACACAGGTACTGCTTCCCTTGCAGGGCCCTGGAGGAGCGTCGGGGTCTCCAGGAACGCCTTTGCTGCCGACTTTCCGGTGCCCAGGAAGGCTGGAAGTCGCTGCAGGGTGGTTTGATGGGGGTGTTCTCCTCCGAGGAGAGACCCTGCATCTCACTGCCCTGTGAGCACAAGCAGGGGACCCCAAGGGTCTGGCTGCTGCTCAGACCATTATTTGCAGGCATGAAGTTAAACCCTCAACTCAGCAATGAATCTGTAATGACTGACAGGTCACTGAAGTTGGAAAAAAAAAAAGTTGCATGCTGGCTTTTAAAAGGCAAAATGTGAGGGTGGGTAAGGTGAAATGAACACATTCATTATACAAGGGCTCAAAGCATCAGCTACGGCGACTTTCCTGACACAGCAAAGGAGAGGAGGTGGCAGGGTTAAACGCCAGGCAAGACAGGAGCAGACGCTTCTGCCGGGCTGCTGCTGCTTTCATGATGCTTGGCAAGGGCAGAGCGCAACACTTCACTTGCCGCTGGTGTAACGAATATCCCTTTGGAAAACAAACCTCTCCAAAGCTCCTCCGCTCCCCTCCTGAACTCAAGCAAGAAGGCAGCCCTGTCCGATAGGGACTAATGGGACGGACAAGGCATTAGAGGAGAGGTTCTGCTTCCGTACAACTCAGAAATCCAAGTTAACTCCCTTGTGGGCTGCCAGGGCTTTTGCCACAGCTATGGATATTTTTATAATCCAGATCTTGAAAAAGAGGAAGAATATGCTTCATGAATTTTTATAAGGCCAGCTTCCTTCCTGCTTTTTCTTTTCTTTTTTTTCTTTTTTTTTTTTTTTTTTAAATACTAGCACCAGATGACAAGATCCATTCTTGCCTGATCTGCATCCCGAATCCCAAAATAACCTCAAATCGCAATGCCGCGCACACAGCCCCCCCCGGGAGGCT